TTCTAGTTACATAATGAAATACTGGTTAAAATTGAATCTGGTATAACTTTTAATATATTCTAATTTTTATTTGGAATGAATGCCAATGAATAATAACGTATCATACTATTTTTATTTATAAAATAAATAATTGATACAATAATAACTAAATATTTAATATATAATATAAAATAAGTTGTGATAGTGGAGGTGCATCCGTTTTTCTTAGTAAAATTAAGGTAGATGATGAAATAGTGTCACAAAATATACTCTATTCATATCTACAAAACTGATTCTTTGAATAAACGTTTATTTAACTTATTTTAAAAATGAAAGGTGAAAAGGTATTTATAAGAAAAATTTTGTAACATGTAATCAATTACAATTATGGTAATTGATTACCATGAGTTTTTCTTAAAAAAAAACTTGTAAAACATGCGTGGCAATCGATTATGACATATTTGTAATCAATTAAAATAAATGAATCATTAGAATTAATTTAATATATATATATATATAAGATTTTAGTATGATCATTATAATTTTGATAGATAATAAATAAATTAAAATATGAATTTATTTTTTCAAGTATGCTACATAATTGATTACCATTAATATGTAATGGATTAAAATAAAATATCATGATTGTTGATAAAACTCTAAAAGTTATAGTTAATTACTATAAAGTTTTAAACCCTAAAATAGAAAAAATCATAAAATTTCTAAAATAGATAAAGCCTTTGTAATCAATTACTTTTTTGTTGTAATAGATTAAAACAACAACGTCTTACATATTTTTGTAAGCAAAATCAAAGTGTCATCGAATATTGATTATTTGTAACCAATTAAAACAGAACTAATTATAGCTTTTCTTGTAAAATATTTTAGTACTATGTATTTTACAAAGCTAAAACACATTTTTCAATTTTCAATCTCTTCTTCATGCACCCTCATTGTTAACACTGTCATTTGGCAAACAAGCACTTGGTGGGCCTTAGAAAAAATCACCTTGCAAAAGAGATGAAGAAACAAATTCCAAGTGGTGAAGTAGTGAGTTAAATGATGGACCGTAAGCAAGGATGTTGTCGAAGAATACCGCGATGTGAAGAAAGGGCTTCAAAAGTTTGTTTATCCTAGCCTAAAGGTGGAAGGTACATTGCAAAGGCTAAAGGAATAAAACTGTACTCGGAACAAGGAGGAAGATAAGCCCTTTACAGCAATAATCAGTTGTGAATTTCTCATCATAATGGTAACAAAGCCCTTTTTCGCGAGAAAATGTGATTTCTACTAAGGATAGTTGTTTGGCTAGGCTTTCTAAGATGATGGAAGGGCATGGGTCGTAGACATAGGTGTATCAAGAACAGATGACAATGTTGAACTATAGAAATAGTGGTGACTATCATTAATCTTAACTTCCTGAAGCTTTTCCAAGGGCATCTCATGATGAAGTGAGACAAGTTAATTGTGGTGTTGGTAATTCTCGACGGATCTCCGTGGAAAGACTGGGAATGAAACTACTTAGAACTCATGGTGGGGAATGTTGTTGTTGGGTGGTGCTGGAGGTGATTGTAGGTATACGATCATGGATGGTGTCCACTTTAGTTGAGACTTGAGAGGGTTCGATGATCTGTTGAGAGGCTTGTTTGAGTTTGGGTGAGTGAGGTGATGGCTTCCTCAAGGTGGTCTATGGTGGTTATATATATAATAGGCTACTAAAGGAAGATATTGTTTTATTGCTAAACTAAGTGAAGTATTCATAATGATATATGACAATTTCTTTGGTGCAAGTTTTATTTAAAGGTCTTTAATGCTCTCTTTGATTAGGACCATTTAAATGATGTTATATATGATTTTTATTAGATTTATTATTTTATAAGCAAGTTTCAATTTTTGCAGATGAATCCTTTATTAATTTATTATGTAACACTTCGAATTTTCTACTAATAGACTATTAATTATTATTTATTTGTATATTTATGAAGATTATGTTCTTATAGTTATTTTAGTTAATTAAAGGAGTTTTATAGAATATTTTAAGAGTTTGTAATAATTTAATTATTTATTAAAAAATGATTTCTGTTTTTTTAGGCCTAGAACGGACTGTTCCAAAAAGCGGAACAGCCTGTTCCCAAAACACAGAACGGGCGTTCCAAAAAGTGGAACGGGCCATTCCAGGGTAATAAAATGGCCTAAAATTATTAGTTGGAAACGGGTCGTTTCAAGTATGGTCAATGTGGGTTAAAATCATCCCCAGAACGGGACATTTTGATTTAAGAACGGGTCGTTCTGGTGTTGAGAACGGGCCGTTCCACTTATGGTCAGTTTGTGTTAAAAGGAACCCCAGAACGGGCCGTTCTAATATTAGAACGGGTCGTTTTGATTTTTGGAAACGGGCCGTTCTGATTTTAGAACGGGCCGTTCCAGTTGAAAAATTTGCCTATATTTGAAGGATCCAGAACGGGCCGTTCCAGGTACACCAGGATGCCTATAAATAAGAGGCATGGGGGGTGAAAAATTATAACTGAGAAGGGTGAAAAATTTTAGAGAAAGAAAGAAAGAAAGAAAGAGAGAGAGAGAGAGAGAGAGAGAGAGAGAGAGAGAGAGAGAGAGAGAGAGAGAGAGAGAGAGAGAGAGAGAAAGAGAGAGAGTGAAAGAGAAAGAAAGAGAGGGAAAGAAAGAGGGAATTCAGAGGAGGAGGTCCTGCCCAAGTTCCAGCTCTTGCTTATCCAGGTAAGGGGGAGAAGTGAGAAACCTCGCTCGGGGGTGTGGAGATAATTGTTGGATAGTTTGATTGTCGGATTGGCCCCCAATCCCTTGCCTGTTGTTTTGTTTTATTTTCTGTTTGCTCTATTTTGTTCCTTGTTACTTTGTTCTTTGTTACTTTGTTCCTTGAAAGTAATAAAGGAATATGTAATTAATGGTAAAAATAAATGAGTTTTAATATAAATAAGAATGCTTTCTGTGGATCTCTGTAAATTCCTGTGCGGACCTTATGAGGAGTATTTATGACATGACCATGTGAATATGGACAAATGACATGAGACCTAAGAATGGACTTTTGAGACAAGTTGTGATTATGAGACTACGAAAAATGATGACATGATGTACTAAATGAAATTCTGTAATAAGTTAAATGTTGAGTCAATGAAATTATGAATGTATGACATGCATCATATGCATATATTACTCCAGGTGTGCCGCTGAGGTCGCATACCAGTGATGCTAATAAGGTGTACCTTAGGGTCACCGGTGATGTAACAAGCTAACAAGGTGTACCTTAGGGTCACCGGTGATGTAACATGCTAACAAGGTGTACCTTAGGGTCACCGGTGATATAACATGCTAACAAGGTGTACCTTAGGGTCACCAGTGATGTAACCAGGTGTGCCTTAGGGTCACCAGTGATGATGAATTGTGAAACTTCCTATGGCGCCACATGCATGCATTTATGAGTCGAGTCCATGACATCATTGCATGATAAATGAGTGTATATGTGATATTGATTATGTATGTGTATTATTTACATGTGACTTATATTTGTTGTGTGTGTGTGCTATCTAACCTTTATTTCTACACCTGAAACTGAGTGAGATGTTTCTCACTCCCTTGTTATTCTTGTATATGTTTAAATTATGATGCAGGTAATCAGCATCATGAGGATGTTGGTGATGAGGCTTAAGGCTTCAGTTGGGCATGCTCTGATAGGATGTGACATCGGGCATAGCTAAGCTTATTTTTGGGATGTTATTGTTTTTAAAAGCTTTAATTTTCTCTTCTTTTGTAATTTTGAACGTTCTTGAGAAAAGACCAAAAAATGTACATCTTTGTCATACTATTTTATTACATGATTTAAAAGTTATAATTAAATTAATTCCTAACTAGGAGGCACTGTCACCTTTGCTGGAATTAATCTATATTTTCCTTTATATGATTTCTTGAGTTTTGATACTTACGTGTTGACCTTTTTATGATTTATGAGTTATGAATGTGAATCTTTTACCTTATGATAATTGAGACAATTATTTTATCCATTAAAGAGGTTGTCAACTATGAAAGATTTTATGTACTCAAAAAGAAAAAAAAATTATTGTTTACATTTATTGTGTATTGATGTTGGGGTAGAGGGTGTCACATATTACATTTTGGAAAAATCCCCTTTGGAAGATGAACCTAAGAAGAAACCCCCTTTCAAAGATTAAGCCGATAATAATGAAAACATAAACCTCCTTTGAAAGATGAAGATGATACAAATGAAGCAGAAATCACATTTCGAAGATGAAGTTGATACTGTGGAAGCAAAATCCCCTTTTGAAGATGAAGTTGATAATTGTTATAAACGCAACTTCGTCGACGAAACTTGCATCAACAAACAACCTTGAAAACACTTTTTGTATCAGCTTGCGTTTCACTTTGTGCCAACAAAGCTTGCATTTAACCTTGCGCTAACAAAGTTGAAAGTTGAAGATAGTGGTGGTTAATGAGAATATTAGGATTTCAAAACTAAGGCTATGTAAAACACAAATATTGGTATGGAGAAAGAGGGTAAGAGAAAGAAAATGAAGAACGAAAACAAGTGAAGAACGAAATCTGAATCTGAGTTAAAATTCTCTATTGAAAATTGCCAAAGTTAGAGAGAACAAGAGAGATAAATGTTTTTGTGAGAGAGAATGAAATCAAAATATTAGAGACATGTTTAGGAGACTAATCTGCAAAAATTAAAACTTGCTTAAATAATAAGTCTTATTAAAATCACACATGACATCATTTAAATGGTCATAGTCAAAGGAGACATTAGTACCTTCTAAATAGAACTTGCACCAAAGGAATTGTCTATATTAAACTTGTAAAAATAATTATGATATATATTTATACTTTTAAAAGTTATATGTAAAATTCTTAATATTACAAATATATAAATAAATATTACCCCATTATCTAAAGTTTCTAGTCACTTATATATATAATTATAATTTCATATACCAATTTGGTATATATCACCTGAAATTTAATATTAAAGTGGATGAGATACCAATTTTCATACTATTTTTTATTCCCAGCAATGAAGTTATTAATCATTCAATAGAAAAAATACATTGCTTGATTGTATCCATACGAAGAAAACTCTTCGATAAAAAAAATACTAATCATTTTCTGGAGCAACAACAGAACTGATTTTGAGGTGGTATGCACATGCCTATCTGAAAGCCTATCAACTGGCAGAAGGTACTGCATGAAGGATAGTCATGGCATGTTCCTGGACAGTATTGTTCGCTCCTCACACCTGCATTTTATATGGGTACTTAGAAGAGTAAGAAATAAAAAAAAAACAAATTAATTAAAATTACATAAAAAAAACCATTGTTTTCATATTTAATTATTTGTCTACATACCAAGCGAGAAGAGTAGAACAATAACCATGGCTGAAATGATTACAAATTTTAGAAACATCATTGAAACAAGCTTGCAATCTATTCTTCGAATAGGTATCATGAGTTTTTATCTATAACGATATATTTATAGATATCAAATCTAACCTTACGTCTTTAGTTCATAAATTCTTTTGGTCTTCATTAATTATTAGATCATTACACCTCTCATTATCAAATGTAATCTTAGGTCATTTACCCTTACGTTTTTACCTTCCTTCAAACCATGCAAAACCACTTCATTCATTGTGTAACTGCACGCTACCCAGCTATATTGTTCTTCGTGAATCAATAACGCATATTTCTCACTTTTCATCAATTTTAATTCTAATTTCTTGTAATTTTTTTTACTATTTCTTTTTATAACATCTGAAGTCTTTATCATTTATTTTATTTCATTTAGGAACAAAGGTTCTTTATGCTAAAGGCATTGCCTATTCTTCTGTTTTAATTATATAGAAGAAAAAGAAGAGAAGGGAGGATAAAAAGGATGAAATAACAAAAAGGTATAGTGTTGAAATTGTCACTTTAAGAAAATTGTCATATAGTGTGATACTCTATATAATGACACAATATGTGTAATTAAAAATTAATTATACTCCCAATAAATATAATATATGTTAGTATATTGTTATAAAAGTGTGAGCATGAGATATAATGACACACAAAATATGTTGTTAAATCTTATTCAAAGTCAACACTAAAATTGTATATAATTATATGTCAATTATATATATATATATATATATATATATATATATATATTATATATATACGAACATTTTTTATATCACACTGTATG